AAATAAAAACAAATTTATAAAATGTATAACGTTTTTAAAACACGAGTAAGTCGTACAAAATAAGGTTTCAGCATTATTTTGTATGATTTACATGTATATTTAAAACGTGATTGTGAAGGAGAAACAAATAATAGAGTAACTGTTACCCTACTTTCGGCCCACCCTGTATATATACAGAAATTAAAAAGAACGTAGACGTTGCAAATAGAAAATTACAGAAACAAGGCAGATCTTCTGTATACTTATATATATATATAAAGAGAGAGAGAAGAAATAGGTTTTAAAAAGTTGTAAAGAAACAGAGAAACGAGATAGATCTTCTATATATATATATATATATATAAACAATAAAAAAAATAGAAGTTATATGTAGAGAATTACACAAATAACGTATGTCATCTATATGTAGAGAATTACACAAATAACGTAGGTCATCTATATTAGAGAATTACACAAATAACGTAGGCCATCTATATGTAGAGAATTACACAAATAACGTATGTCATCTATATGTAGAGAATTACACAAATAACGTAGGTCATCTATATTAGAGAATTACACAAATAACGTAGGTCATCTATATTAGAGAATTACACAAATAACGTAGGTCATCTATATGTAGAGAATTACACAAATAACGTAGGCCATCTATATGTAGAGAAATTCAAGAAAGATGACGTTCCATGAAGAAAGATACACAAAAGAGGTAGAGTTTCCACTTGCATATAAACTGACAAAAATTAGTTGTTGCGTTAGAAACTAAAGATACGAGGTGGACATTCCATACATATAGAGATAAACTGAAAATAAATATAGACTTTTGATGTAGATAATTACAGAGAGAAGTTAAACATTGCTTATACAGAATTGCAAGAGCAAGGGAAACATTATATATATTGAATTACAGAAACAAAGTAGACGTTACTTATATAGACTTAAGAAACAAGGTAGACGTTGGTTATACGGAATTACAAAAAGATAGTAGAAGTTGGTTATAAAGAATTACAGAAACAAGTTATACATTGCTTGAGAAAGGAAGCATATTATGCTAATTTAATAATAATTAGGGAAACAACGATTTTAAGCATAATGAAGTGATTTATTTATGGTGGAATATATTGCATGTTTTGACAGAACATTGGTCTGTTTTATTATGTTATAACATAAATAAATTATTTCATTATGCTTATAGATCGTTGTTTATCTACTTATTATTAAGTTAGACGTTTTTTAATGGAATTAGAAAACAAAGTAGACCTCGTTTATACATACGTAGAGAAACAAAGTAGACATCGCTTATATGTATATAAAAAACAAGGTAGATGTGTCTTTTATATTGTTACGTCTCCGTTCGTTAGTTAGATCTCTTATCATAAGATAGCTTCATCGAATCAGCAGACGTTTTCAAGTTTGAACGCACTTGATGGTGAATATCATCCATCCTTTCCGATAACACTTCCACAAACTTTGACATATTCACAGCCAACTCTTCATAAGGTGGGCGTCCCTTATGTTTAGGTCCCCTTTTAGCACTACATGTACTGCATGATTCTGCCCCATTCTTCCACATCTTGTTTCATACCTATCCAGTAAAATCTTTGTCGTAGGTGACTCA